TATTTCATTTGAAAAAAATGCCTAAAAAATAATTTTCCGTAATTTTCAAAATTTTTAATTTTTTTCTTTTTGGTCTTCCAGAGGAAGTTATTTTACACAAATTTAGTGAAGGAATTTTTTCTCGGCCTTATATTAAGCGAGTTATGGATGTAAAAATGTACATGGAAGAAACGTCAGATTTTGACGTTTCTTAAATTTTGAATTTAAAAAAATCATATCTCGAAAACTAACAAAGATAACCTTACGCGGTTTTCACCAATAGATTTGCCATAAAAATGTCTTTTTTTAATGTCGTATACATGATCTTGCTAAAATAAAGATTTCTGCCGAAAAACTGAAAATTAAATAAAAAACCGACAACTTTTGAATTAAAAACAATCATATCTCTAAAACTAATATAGATACACCTATGCTGCTTTCACCAAACGATTTGTCATAAAAATATATTTTTTTAATGTCTTATACATTGTCTTGCTAAAATTAAATTGTATAATATTTTTGTTCGAAGTTCTTATTTTTAAAAACATTCGAAATTCTGTAAAATTGGGCTCGCACGCGTACATTTGCGCTGTCGCGCCTGTATTTGCGCTATCGCGCTTGTATGTGCGCTATCGCGCATATGTGGGCATAAACTTTATGTGCAACGACTGAATTAAAGGCGTGAAAAGTTTAAAATATTTAAAAAAATAACTTCCAGATGACACTCCGGAAATAGCCGAATATTTTTTGTTTGAATGTATTATTTAAAAAAACAACCAAAATTCTGTGAATTCGGGCTCGCGCGCGTACAATTGCGCTATCGCGCATAAATTCGCGCTATCGCGCGTGTATTTGCGCTATATAAATGATTTATTTTTTTATAGTATCACTAATCGCGAGCAAATGTGAATACGTCAAATCTGACGTTTTTTAAAACAGCTGAAAAATCCGTTTCCGGGTTTTCCGGAAATCTTCCGGTTTTACATTACCGGCCTCACTGGTGTCCGTGCGAGAGCAAACGTTTAAAATTTTAGCCCGGTCGGGCCAAAATTGACCGAGTTATGCCCAAAAACGCATAAAAACGGGTATTTCATTTGGAAAAAATTCCTTAAAAAATAATTTTCCGTAATTTTCAAAATTTTTGATTTTTTTCTTTTTGGTCTTCCAGAGGAAGTTATTTTACACAAATTTAGTGAAGGAATTTTTTCTCGGCCTTAAATTAAGCGAGTTATAGACGTAAAAATGTACATGGAAGAAACGTCAGATTTTGACGTTTCTTAAATTTTGAATTTAAAAAAATCATATCTCGAAAACTAACAAAGATAACCTTACGCGGTTTTCACCAAAAAATTCGCCATAAAAATGTCTTTTTTTAATGTCGTATACATGATCTTGCTAAAATAAAGATTTCTGCCGAAAAACTGAAAATTAAATAAAAAACCGACAACTTTTAAATTAAAAAAAATCATATCTCGAAAACTAATAAAGATACACCTATGCTGCTTTCACCAAACGATTTTTCATAAAAATGTCTTTTTTTAATGTCATATACATTGTCTTGCTAAAATTAAATTGTCTGCATCAAAAAGGGAATTTTCAAAAAAAATTTAAAAAAATTGACGAATTTTTGAAAAAAATGTCCAAATCGTTTTTTGATTTTGATAGTTTTTTAAGGGGACATTTGCACCATGAGCCCACACATTGGTGCCAAATTTAAAGTCGCCATCTATTATAGGTCAAGAGATATTAATGATTTTGTAAAATAAATCGCAGAAGAAGAAGAGGAAAACATTTTAATATTTTTTTATGGCAAATCAATTTATAAGAATGTGGTTTACCCTCATGTTTGGTTAAATTTAAAAAAATATAAATAGAAACAGCATAAAAAAATTAATTAAAAATTGCCTGCATTTTTTAAAATAGCAACAAAAATAAATTGAGCAGTAGGCCATGTTAGTTTGTTTCGATGATTTTTATTTTTTAGTATGTTAAATAACAATCCTTTGCACATCTATTCGTGTTTTTCGTTTACTTAAAGTCTTCTTAGTTTTCGAGAAAAAAATTTCCAAAAAATTCGTGAAAAAGTCGAAAAAAATTTTTTTTTTCGAAAGTTGCAGGCCTGAAAAGCCCATATACTATACACTTCAATAGATAGTCGTCGTACACCTTTTCATCAAATTTGGTCTTTCCACGTCGATCCCTTCGAACCTGGAATCCGGATAGGAAAAACCCCAAACTTTCGTCGAAAAAATCGATAAAAAGTGCACTTGGACCCTTCTTGCGCTAACCAAATTTGGAAGAGATGTGCACCTCGTGGAGTTTAAAAAAGGGTCCAAATTTCAAGTTTCCACCGTTTGAGGTTTTCCAGTTATGAATTTTTAAAAATTTGATGACAGATTCACAGACATCCAGACACACAGACATCCAGACACACAGACAACAGAAAAAATGAAAGTTGTTCAGAATTCGATTCTGAGTCGATCCATATATGTAAAGGCATATCTAACTACCCGGGAAGTCGCATTTCCAAAAATTCCCCTGCTTCTATAAGTCTTGGAGTCTGAAACTCCACGACTAACAAGTCCGTTAAAATAGTACTTTTTGCTCAGTTTGGTTGGTAGTTTGCCACGGTTTGGAAGAAAGTTTGAGGCAGTGTCGTATCTCTGGTATACTTACACAGAATGAGATAAAAGGCCTTAGACGAAGAAATATTATAATTATTTATTATTTTTCTTTTCTTTTATTGTTTATTATTATAATATGGCTAGGTATAATGCGAAGCAATTGGTATCAACATAAATCAGTTCTGCCAACATACAGACTATATTAACTATTTTTTGCTTTATGTTGCTTTATTATTTAGAACCTAAGTTGATTTGTAAAACATGGTTTTCTAATAATAATTTAGGAACTCATTTAAGGTTGAAAGACCTATATATTTAACAAAAATCTTCCATGTTCGTAAAGTATAGAAGCAAAATCTTTCAGCATTTCAGAATAAAATGTAAATGCAATATTGCAAACATATCTAGGTTATATGTTGAGTTGGATTTAAAATACGGTGTTAAATGGATAGGTACTATTTTAGTCTTTTATTTTAATTTAACAAAATATGTTTATATCTAAATTACACTAATGCAGTGATAGTAAGTAATACATGATTTCTGTATTATATTTATTTATTTATTTTACACTATGTTATAGCTAGCAAAAAAACTTCTATATTTTCAAGTTAATTCTTTGAAGTATTCTTCTATTTCTGCTGCCTTGACAGGATGATAATGCAAGGTTCTGTGTTTGGTCAGGCACCGAAACCTTTGTTTAAGAACACCAAAGCATCGCTCTATTACATTTCTTGCTCTTATATGAGCGACCTTTCGGTGTATTTTCTGAGGCATCCATAATAGTGGTAAGCAAATACGGTAACAGTGGGTACCGTGAGTCACCTAAAATAAATATTATGTTATACAGGGTATCCCATAATTATCGTGCAATACTTTAACAGCAGATTTTACGTACAATAATAAGAAAAAAAGTTCATATAAACATAGGCCGAGAAATGCTTTCTAAGAGAGCTGAAAGAGGAGCCCCTGAAGATGGTTTTTATTTAATATATCCAAAACCGTTCAAGATAAAAAAGTAAAATTTTGGGAATTAATCAAACTTTTTATGGCCAATAAGATGTAATAATAACAATTCAAAATTTCGATGAGGGGTGGGTCAGGTAGTTGGGAGTATGGGTTAAAACCACCCTAACTTTTTTGTATGTGTCTCGTGCTAGGATTTGATGTCAGATTATGAAATTTCGGAGTTTTACACACAAAAAAGGTCCTCTTGTTAAACTTTGATATTATCCACTGTTTTAGCTTAAAATATATATATATATATATATATATATATATATATATATATATATATATATATATAGATATGTATACAGGCAATGGGCAGCCCGTTTGCGATGCGAACCGCTCAATGGTCAGCCCGTTCTAACGTTGGTCGTCCCGCTTTTGGGCTCACCAAGGTATCGCACTGTATACCATGTCTAAAGGTAAGAGGAGGGTCTTAATTGATATTTCCCGCGTTTTTGTTTGGGACGACCTTTTTACTATTGACGTATCCATTATACAGGTTTTAGTTCCGAAAAAGTTCATGTAGAGGGCGCTGGTTTTATACGAATTTTGAGTATACAGAGGGTATGTTTGTAGCCTCTTGGTGAGCCCTAAGTTTGGCAACATTGCGAAAATGATCGTAAAGCGCTGTATTTAATCAATTTCTCGGCTTGAATGTTTTGATCAATTTCTCAGCTTGGATGTATTATTAAAGTCTACTTTTATGCACGGAATTTTGTGTAAAATAGTGTTAAAAATATTTAAAAAAAATTCAGTGGTTACAGGTTTGACGCTAACCATCTTTAAAAGTTTTAAAAAGTATATCTGTGATAAACATACTACAAACAAAGTGGATATTCGTCCAGAACTTTCCGGATAAATTTTTTTTATTCTTTCGGAAATTGGCAAATATATGCAAGTAAACCTATATTTGTCGATTTCTGGGCCAATAAGAAAATTATTCGAAAAGTTCCGGATGAATAGGGATAACAATATAGCTGGATTTATTAATGGTAATAATATTTTAATCAATGTTATTAAGTATATACATAATAAATGTTTATTCATTTATTTGAAAATACATTGCCATGTTAGGCATTTAATCATTTTATTAAAATATAAATTTATGTCATGTAGGTAGGTAATGTTTATATGTTAAGAAATGTTAATTTCTATATTTTATAAAATAGGTAGATACCTACCTACTTAATATGGCCATGTATTTACAAATAAGTTAATAAACATTTTTTTTAATTCTTCGACAAAGCAAGTCAACTAAAATAAAATATGTAAAACTGTTAAACAAGTTTTTTATTTTATTTAAAAATGGTTATAAATATATCTAACTAAAAAACATAAAATTACAAAAGAATTACTTATTTTTTCTATAAGCATTGTAAACAAATGCTTTTATGACAACCCAGTTGCGATCTTTAAACAATTTTTTAAATTGTTGTTTGAAATCCTCAACTTCTTTTTTTTTGGAGGATTTTGGCTTTTTATATGGTTTTCAAAATGTTTCAAAATTAATGATTTTTGATCTTCGGACCATCTTACTCTTGTCAACGTCTTCTTAGTAAGCTCATCTGGAAAAGTACAAATAATTATTTCTTAAAAGACAAGAACACCAGAAATTGCTTCATGAAATATGCGTACCTTCGCACTTGGCTCTAGAAGGTCCAGGAATGTTCATTTCCTCATTGTCGGTCATAGAAGTTTCAGAAGTGTTTATATCTTTTGTTAAAGTGTTGATGCGTTTCTTAATAAATGTTTTGCGACTATTGATATTACCAAGAGATTCATTGTCTGAATCACTATCTGAATCTACCAAATCATTTTCAGATACCTTAATGTCATTTAAGGATTTGCCTTTAAACTGGGATGAGTCGCCTTTGTTTATTGCCATTAAAATTTTGGAGACTTTGGCCGTTTGGTAAACGTCTTGTGGAAGTCTAAATTTATTAAAAATAATTTAAATTTAAAAGTTTTAACACAAAATAACAATTAGTTTACAATAGAATTAGAAAGTAAAGTTATAGATAGTAAGGGGTCATCCATAAATTACGTCATACGTTAAGGGGGGCCAACGAAATCTGACACTGTGCGACAAGGGGCTGGGGAGTCAAAAGCTTTGTGACGTCTTATGTTAAAATCTAGTACCAAAAGATTTTTTCAATTTAAATTAGACAAATTTGGAAAAACTAATGTTTTATTTAATTACTTCTAAATATGAAATTAAAAAAATGTGATCACAACCGGGGGAGGGGGTTTCACAAGTGTGACCACCTGTGACAAGGACGGGGGGGTCAAAAAACCACAAAATTTGTATGACGTAATTTATGGATGGCCCCTAACAGTGACAATTATCCAATTTTATTATTGGTCTAAACGCCTACCTTTGTTATATTATAATGCGGTTTCGTTTTAAGGTTAGAGTCTAACCTTAAAACAAAACTGCGTCTAATCATTAGACAAAAAAATATTAAAAAGTTTATAAAAATATTTAATTTTAAAAAGTAGTGAGTTTAATAAAGCCAGAAAATGAAACCCATAGTCTCAAAATTTAACATTTCTGACTATAGCTATCAAACTTACCGATAATATTCTGCGTGGGTCTTTTGTGTATGACCCATAAAGTTTGCGAATTGCTCCATGTCAGTTTCTGAAAAATTGGAGACTTGCAGAACTGTTGCTATTTGTTTACGTAATCTAGTAGATGTAAATAAGTCTTTGTTTGAAGTTCCTGACTCTTCAGCCAACTTTTTTACAACATGGTATCCACTAAGCCATCTGTCCTTAGTTGAGAGATTTGCAAACAAATACTCATTAGATGGGTGCACTATGTCAGCCCTTACTTCTAACATTAGTTGTATTAAATCCTGAGTCTTTTTTGGAAAAAGTATGGCAATGGGCTTACTTCCCTTGCCACCTGTTACTACTCGTTTAAAATTTTCACTCAAAATTTGTTCTTGGGGTGTTAAACTAGCTAAAAATTCTGCGTTTATCGGCTTTGTTACATCGTTGCAATAGGTTTTGACTTTAAGGTATTGCACTTCGCCAATTCTTTTCCTGTTAAGTAATAAAGTAAGGGCTAAAACACATTCTGTAAGGTTTTTGTATTCTACTTTAATATTAACTTTTTGTTTAATGTTATTATAATTTTTTTGTGCCCTTTCAGTTAAAAATCTTTGAAATTTAATGATATCCTCTGTCAAAGGAAATAATTTAGGTTTTTCCCAATTTTTTTCATTTAAGTCCTTTAAGGCAATACTAGACAATTCAGTATTCCAATGGTTTGTAATTAAGGATCGAAAGCGTTTAATATTTTTTAATTTTTTTTCAGGTTCTGAGATGTCTATAAATCGATTCTTTTTAATTATTAGTTGGGAAGCAATATCACAAACTTGTATAAGTCTTGTGCCCATATGTAAAGCCAGGCTTGGAGCTGTAAAAGTGTGAGTTAGATGATTATATCCACTTATAACTCGGGTAGCTGTCACAACGTTGTCAAACATTTCAGGCTTTAATGCGTCCAGCAATTTTTCTATGCCAGTTGAATCTTTAAGCACCAATAAAATCCGACCCATTTCTCTCATTTTGTTCGAAACGCTTACTGCCAACTGCACCCTTCTATGTCTTTTCAATTGACTCTCGCCATAACTACATATCAGGATATCCTTAATTGCCGCTTTTGAAATATTGTCAGGCCGCATTTTGTCTATGACTTCGGATTTTAATCTTAACGAATCATAAAACTCTTTGTATATGCCTGAGCAAAGAGCAAAAGCCTGAGTTTCAGAGAGGTGACTTATTCTTGTTTTTGAACTGGCTTGGTTTTTAATCATTGGGCATTTTTTTCTGTGTTTTCTTAAGTTTGTTTTTTTATAATACCCCAAACAGTAGTTGCAAGCAGAATAATTTTCGTCAGATTCTAAAGATCTTGGTCGTCTTACTGGTCGTGTTATTTTGGCATTGGAAGTAAGCAAATAATTTCCTTGCCTTCGAAGTGCATCTAGTAATAATTTGCGTTTGGGATTTTTAGAGTTTAAACAAAATATGTCTTGAACAGCTCTTTCGTCTGGATGATTTCTCTGCAAGTGACGAGGAAAATGCGTTATTTCCACGAAACAATAAGGACAACAATTTTTTTTGGTCCAACGTCTTTTATTTTCAATTTGTTCAACATTGTTAAGTGGAGTTTCCTAAAATATTTTTTAATTAATCGGCCATTCCGGGTAACCTCCGTTATAGTGTTAAGTTTGCCGATATCTCAAGAAAAGCAAATTTTTTTTCATAAAATTGTTACGTAATGTGTACAGAGGTTACCCGGAATGGCTGTAAAAATTAAAAACCTGTATGTTATAACGAAAATTAAATAAAAGCCAGAATCAGGTTTTTAAAAATAAAATTATTTACCTTGTTAATAATACCATAATTATGAAGAATTCTTTCATTGTTGTATTTATTAATTGTTTGTTTACTAATTGAGTTTGGAATCTGGAAAAATAATTTTATATGATTCAGTAGGTATTCAGTTTTTTGTCAGTGAAAAAACTTTCAAGTTAAAAGGTGAAGATTTTTGGAGGAAGAATCAATAAAATTTTAATTTCAAGTGTATTAATAAAAAAATTGGAAACAAATTAAATTTAAAAAATTATCCAGTATGTACAGTGGCAATCATTTGAAAGTGCACGATTTTTTTCACTAGTGTAATACGATCTTTTATGTGTCATATTTATGTGTCAAATGTCAATTTGAAATTTATTTATCAATTCAAAATGCCGCGGTTATCTGAACCCGAAAAAATGCGAGCTATTGCCCTTTTGGAAAATGGTTGGTCGCTGCAAGCAGTGGGAGATGACCTGAACGTTAGTAAAAGCTGCATTTTTAAATTAAAACAAAAATGGAATGTGGAAGGAAACGTTCGGTTTGTTCACGGCGGCGGCCGTGCTAAAGTAAGCAATGCACAGAAAGACTACCTCCTTGACAATCATTTAAGAGGAAATCCCTTTGATTCGGCAGCAAAGGCCCGTTTTGAAACAGTTCCCTGGATCTGTGTCTACTGCAAGAAGGCGGATAAATAGCTCAGAGTTAAAGTGCTATAGAGCAGCAAATAAAGTGTCTCTGGAACCAAGACACAAAATACAACGAGTGAATTTTGCGAACCAGTTTGTCGGTAGACCGGATCCCTTTTGGGAGAATGTCATTTTTTCGGACGAAAAAGTTTTTCAATCGTGCTACGACGGTTCCGTCCGTGTCTACCGACCTCAAAATTCTAGGTATGCAGAGCCATATGTTAACCCTACAGGTCGCAGTGGACGCTTTTCCGTAAACGTTTGGGGATGGATAAGCTACCAAGGTCCCGGTGTCTGTTGGAGGGTAGAAGATCGCTTGAATGGATAACATTATAAAAGCATTTTAGAAAATGTTATGCTCTGTCAGAATACTGCATCCGCAGAATTTTATTTTCCAGCAGGCAATAACTACTATTTATTTTACAATATAAACAACAATTAAAATTTTAGGATAATTGTGCAGTTCATACTGCAAGAACCGTTAGCGAATGGTTCAATATAAACCAAATTCAACTTTTACCTTGGGCCGCAAAGTCGCCTGACCTAAATCCAATTGAAAATGTATGGGGAATCCTCGTGAAAAAAATGTATAATAGACATTTTCACCCGGCCAATGCCGAAGAATTGTGGGAAGCAATACAAAATGCTTGGGAAAGCTTGGACGATCAGTACATCAAAACACTTATTATGTCCATGCCGAGACGTTTACAAAGCGTAATAAACGCAAATGGTGCGTGGACAAAATATTAATTTTTAACAATTATAATAAATTAATTTAATCACTATTACCTAACTACTTTTATTAATATATATTATTTTGGTTTGGAAACATAATATTTCTTGGTAAAGCAAACATAAAAAATTACCTGGTCATGAGAGCTATCAATAATATTTTTTTAACCACCTGTCAAGGTGACACTTCAGGTTAACCTTAAATTTTAAAGTCAGTATCACACAACTCAATTATACGCAAATTCGGCACAAGAGTCGTGCACTTTCAAATGATTGGCACTGTACCATAAAATAATGTCAGTAAATTAAAAATTGTTAATCTACCTGATCCCGACTATTTTGAATAAAAGAATTTGTAATATTGCTTTCTCTGTTTTTATTTGGCGCTGGAAACTAAAAGAGATAATAATTTAAATTGCTTGTCACTTAAAATGGTGGAAACAAAACGTACCGTTTTTACATCTAAAATGACAATTTTATCCTGATTTTTTGGTGCTTTAATTTGTGATGACATATCCTAGAAAAAATAATACATGTATATAGTAAACAAGGTACGAACACCTATAGAAAAAATGATTTGGTAAAAAATCGCAATGACATAGTTTTTTAGTAACGCGCTTAAAAACCTATTAAAATTAAATAATAAACATTTTATATTTTCTCTTATTTTTTGGCAATATATTACGGTAAAGATCAACGGATCAAACTTTAAGAATAGAAAATTACAAAAATAACTTACCATATTTAAATTTCCTTTCACGAGATTGCCATTATGATCAGATGGAACATAATTACAATCAAGTAATGTCTGGTTGGTTACTATTACTTGGTCTTGTGGTAGAATGATTGGACTATTGGCTATTTCCTTTTAAAAATAAATTAATATTAAAAATAATCAACAATAAATGAATGATAATCTGGATATGAAAATTTTAAAAATAAAATTTTTAACGTAAGTTAAAAAAGTTTGTTTTTTACATAAAAACACAAAAATTTCAATTTTTTCAAGCAGCAATAGATGGCTTTTATTTATAGAATAAACTTTCGATTTTTAAACGGCATGCCCTATATATTTTTACATATTTGAAATCCTGAGAAAGTTTTGAGTCGGACAGCATCCTCAAATTGACCTTTCGATGTTTCGTCATCAGAAAATGCATCATCATAAAGATCAATCTAGAGTTCTTTGAACTATCTTATTTTCCTGAGTAAATTTGCTGGAATAAAATATTTTTCCTTATTTCAAAATTTGGTTTAATTTTTATTTATTTGTCATGGCTTACTAATAAAATATCTGTTATCTGTTAGCAATTGCTTTTGTTGCGCATTTTAAATTTTCCCGCAACTTCGTTTTATTTAATAAACATGTCATATTGGTCTTACACTGCTACTAAACCCATCGTTCGTTTCGTCATAGAATGCACTATTTTATGACATTGTGCAACTAATATAAAGCCATTAAAAAAAAGAAGATATTTGAGAAAAACGAATTTTGAAAAGTTTAAACTGCTGGGAATAGCCATTTTTCAGGCATTTTGTGAATTCATTAGAAGAAAATAAAATATTCCAAAGCACTCTAGATTGATCTTTATGATCATGCATTTTCTAATGACGAAACTTTAAAACGTCAATTTGAGGATCATGTTTGACTCAGAATTTTCGCAGGATTCCTAATATGTAAAAATATATAGGGCGTGCCATTTAAAAAATCAAAAGTTAATATCATTTCCGACACAACCGTTAAAAAAATTCATTTTGTACTTTAATAAGTGGCATTTTATATCCTAATCATCCATACTAAATTTTATGTGTCTATCTTTATAAATAAAAAAGTAACAGGGGTGCGCCTATTCCCAGATACACCCGGTATATTAAGGTAAATATAATGGATGAAACTTCACGAATTAAAAATGAAAGAAATAACTTACCGGGTTTAAATTTTCCTTTACAAGATTGCCACTAATAAGCTCATATGTAACATAATTACAATCAAGTAATGTCTGGCTTGTTACTATTATTTGGTCTTGTGGTAGAATGATTGGACTATTGGCTATTTTCTTTTAAAAATAAATTAATATTAAAAACAATCAACAATTAATTAATAATATTCGGACTTACCGTGTCATATAAATCATTTAATTGAGTGAGGTTAGACTCAGAATCTGAATTATGGCTATTAAACATTGCATTGCCAGGTTCATTCTAAAAACAAGGACATATTATTTTTTGAATTTTTCTAAAAACAAATAAAAAAGTTTGTTTTTGCCAAAAACCCACCAAATATTCTATTGTTTCTAAGTATTCTATATGTTTTAACTATTATTTAACATTCTTTGCCAATGCATAATAACTACTAGATTGAAAATCAAGACAAATCACTTTTTGTATATTCAATTTTTTTATACTTACATTTTCATAATACATCATTTCGTTTCTCAACTCATTTAATGTACAAGACTTATCCAAATCACTTTGATCTGAAATCCTCCCATCAGTGACAACAGGTGCCCTATCTTGAGGATCTAACCCTTCCAAACAGAGCTTTTCTTTAGAAACTTCCAAATACCCCGGATTTATATCATTACTTGAATCTGATGTCGAAGAAAAATCTGAAGAATGCACTTCATCAGAAGACCCACTAGAAAATGGTTTAGTCTCGTTCAGACTTTCTTCAAATTCATAAGGATCGGTCCCGAAATTAGCCTAAATATTAAATTTGTAATGTAGGTCTTTTTTAAGTCTTGCTCACTTAAATATGCGACAAAATTAAGTACAATCTTAAGTAATACCTATACATAATTGACCAGATTCTTCAAAATTTGCTGATTACATGTTTATCAAAATTAATCAATATGAAATAATACATATAATTTTTTTTCGAAGTATTTTGAGTTTCAGAGAAGATGTCAGATTATAAAGCTATAGCTTTATGATATATAACAGACTTGTTATTTTACATGTTAGTTAAAATAATACAGTCATGTTGTCGATTGTTTTTCTGAAACCCCCAAATCCCTCCCTGCGTACGCCTTTGTCCAACGGAAATTAAACCCTAAAGCGTTTTGCAAAGTTAACTTTGCTAAATAGTTCGCATTTTTATGAGCTTGTAAAAAGGTCAAAATTATCCAGCACTTGCGTCCATAATTTGGATCTAATTAATTTTTCTATGAAAAATAAGCTTTTTACATTACATTTTAAATTAAATAACAGAAACACGTAATTTGCCTTTCAATTAAATTATAAATCTTTAAATTTTGACTTTTTGATGTCAAAAGCATATCTGTAGGTAGGTATTTGTGTTTTACAACAAGACTATTTTTTATTATTCTATTTGCAATTTAAATATTAACAAGTTTTACTTTGTGATAAATTTAAGTTATTTATTGTTATTATACTTTAGATTTTGTTAGTTTGTAATGTCCAATATTTTGTTTTAATTAACATAACTGCATGAATAAATATCTTAATTTTTAAATTGATAAAAAAGCTTAAAATGTCCAAATTTCTAACCTCTTTAAGCCGATTATAGATATTTATCGGTTTAAAATGTTCAAGAAAGTAAAGGCAAAAAAACTTTTACTTACCATAATTTTCCTTGTTCGAAAGGAATAATTAGCCATTTTTAAATAATAAAATTCACCCCACTAACAGAGACACTACCACGAATTCACCTTGCGAATTAATATCGCCGATCACGTGTTTTCAAACCGCTTAGAAATTTGAAATATAAAAACGGCAACACCGCCGGGCTCACCAAAATTTGATTGACGTATATTTGTAATACTATTGGGGCGACTAGTGTATCATTCGCGTATATGGGACGACCTTAATATGATTCGCATGTAAAACTTTAATTTTTTAATTTTTCTTACCCCTCTACTTTCCCCTCCAGGGTAAAATATAATTAAAATATTATTTTTAAAATATATACACTTAAAAATACATGGAAAATGCCGGGTAGACCAGAAGCCTGTAGACATAGCGGGCTAACCAATATACTGTTTATAAATATATATATATATTTATATATATATATATATAAACGGTCATTGTGCAGCCCATTCTATATACAAGCTATACTCTGTGTAGCCCGAAATGACTTTGTGTGGCCCACTCCCGGGCTGAACAACGTTTGACGTTATTTCAACGCTAATCGATTAATCACGGTGTTGGGAACCCCAGGTTAAATTTTTGGCAGGGCTTAACAACGACCGGTTTAGCCATAGTTACATACAGAATAGTTCATTGAATTTAACTGTAGGTGGCGCGCTGTAGTAAGTGTATCTAGAATAGGAATCCTAGATATCTTACGGTTCCTGTGTAGCCCTAAATCCGGCAACACTGCAAACACAAATTTTTCGTAGGAAGCAGTGAGCAGAGTTTTAACGCTGCCGCGCGCTGTAAGTTCGATACCGCGACTTAGTCAGAGATTTATTCGAATACTTTTAATTGTTTTTATTACTTAATGTATTATAGAATGTGCACAATGAGCTTTATTTTTTTTTTAAATTCTTTTTAAAAATATAAAAGGCAAAAAACATTAATTGTAAAAATTATTCAAAAGCTTTTACTGGTAGAACATACATACTTTATTAAGTTAATCACTTAATCAGACTTTATAACTTTTTTAGTTGAATGTTTTAAAAATAGAAATATTAAAATATTTGACTAAAATTGGGCATATTTTTAATTAGAAATAATCCAAAATTTGAAGATAATTTTTTTTATTATGTTGTAATAAGTGGATCAAATTTCAACACAAAGACTTTATATGTTTTTTTAGGAATTAGCTAAACATGTCTAATTTCAAATATCTTTCGGAAAACATTATTTTATTGTGTTTTATTTAATATATTAGGCCTGTTAGAAGCAAATTAATTTGTAAAATAAAAATAAATAAAATTAATAAAATAAAATAAGATTTCATCGTATTTTATTATTTTAATGTGCTTATTTTAAAAATAGCCAAAATATTGCGATTAGTCCTCAATCGGGTAAATTTTTAATCAAAAACATCTCAGAAGGGATATACTAAAAATTCCAAATTTTGCGATTTGTCCAAAATCGGGCTTTTTTAATCTGAAATATCTCAAAAGGTACTAACTTAAAATCTAACATTTTCAGAAAACATTTTTTTCATTTTGTTGTAATAAGTGATTTAAATTTCAATGAAATTATTTCATCAGTAGCACTTTATTAGTTTTTTCTATTTTCTTATATACAAAATATTAATAAAATATAATAATAACATAACTATTATAATAAAAGCTTTTTGTTTAAAGCCAGTATTATTATTTTTTGAAAAACGCAGATTTTTGACAAAATTAATTAAAAATAATAAAAATTATTCCATCCTATCTTTTAAGTTTAAAACCAAAGTTTAATTAAATCATATCAATTTACGATTTTTAACTTTTATATTCCCACTTTAATGGGTGTGAAATTTCACGAGGGAATTTTAAAAACAAAACAGCATAACATAATTAATTTGTGCTACATAAATCTACTAAATAATTTAGTTTTACTCAATGTAGCCAATTATAAGTTAAGGGTCCCTAGAATTTGCCAACTAAATACCCAAATTCCGAATAAAAAACATTTAATTGCACTAATTAAATAAATAAAGTAAGTTTTCTAGATGTTTGCTATTAGGTTTACAGATATAGGGGTAAAATGTTTATAATCTTAAAACATTATTTAAAAAATTCCATGTCAATTCTTTAACATTTTTTAACAAATTACCCGAGAAACCCCAGGGCAAATTGGGCTAACTTGAAACGTTAATAACTTTTTTTATTTTAAACGTAACATTTGACATGGAATCTTTTAAACAATGTTTTAAGATTCCAAAAATTCCACCCCCATTTCTGAAAACCTAATAGCAAGAAAGTTATAGGCTATTTTTGATTGACGCGCATTTGTCATATTTTAACGGAAAAAATTAATAAATCCAAAACTACTTACAGTAATTTTACTCCAAATTTTATGTAGAATTTAAAAATGTAAAAATATATGGGGTGTTCCATTTAAAATAACATAGTTGATGTCACTTTCGGTCAAGCCGGAAGTGGCATTTTGTTTAAAATATTTTAGAAAAATAGGCCTAATTGGATAATAAACGCTTTACAAATTTCAAATCGATATCTTTTGCCGTTCCTCAGAAACTCTCAATGGACCACGAACGTGAAACACGCATTACCGTATTTCGTAAATGTGCAACACCCTGTATATAATTAAAATAATTTTAAAATAAATAAATAATCTTAATGGTTGTCCATTTATTCGGTGAATAAATTTTTCATAAAAATATACTGTCCAGCTGTTATCGAATCTGTTATATTATGTGCCGAATACATTTTATTGGATCACACTTAAAAAAAAATGACGTGATCTGAAAAAACGCCGAGACACGGGTATCATTTTTTTAAGTCTATTATCACAATCTATGTATCCAGATCCACCATATTAATAAATTAGGGGGTTAATATCAAACACAGCAAAGTTCAATATCCAGTTGAAATGATTAAGTAAAAATATCGTTCCTAATATTTTTTAAGGGAATATTTTAATACGGACTTTGCGGGGTGATTCATTAGCCCCCTACAATATTTATATTTATGTTTTTAAATATAAAAAAAAATAATAAATGTTTTATATTAACTTTATCTATAGTGTTCACAAAAAGAATTTTGCTAAATCACAAAATTTTAAAAATGGTAAATTAACACTGGTCGACAAATTAAAACTTTTTGTTTGCCTTTTGACCATAATTTTGTTCAATCAGATTTTGTTTATTGCAATATTGTAAACAGATAATTTTTTTCGAAATTTTAAAAGAAATCTTTAATAATTTTTAAATTATAATTTAAGAATTAATAAAATAATATTAATTTTCCTAATAAACTTGGTAAAAGTCTTTTTAATGTTTTTTTGTAAATGTATCGTTTTACAGTAAAATTGCAATTCCAATTCAATGTTATTAAATTCCGTGGCATTCCGTCCTGCTATAAATTACTAAGAATTAATTAATTAATCAAAGTTTTCCTTTTTTTTAATCCATTGTTAATTTCAGAAATGTAAAAAATAAAATTTAAATCTCTAAAAAGAGCATATGGAAAATATGATTAAATTTAATGACAGTAGATTGGTATTTCAATGTTACTGTGAAACGATACATTTAACAAAAAAATAACTTTTTTAAATGGACTGTTTATTTTAAAACAATTTTTTTTTAAATCATTGGAGTAACTTTTTTTTGTTTTAAAACGAGATATTATTACCACTGCTTGTAGTATAAAAACATTTCCCATCAAATTAAAAAATCATACTCATCCATGTGCTGTAAATAACTTTTTTTAATTGACTGTTTATTTTAAAACAATTTTTTTTTAAATCATTGGAGTAACTTTTTTTTGTTTTAAAAAGAGATATTATTACCACTGCTTGTAGTATAAAAACATTTCCCACCAAATTAAAAAATCATACTCATCCATGTGCTGTAAATTAATTTTTTATTCTAAAAAATATATGCAACTTAATCCCTTGGATGTTGAATTTTTAAAATAATATTATTAAGAAAATTAATATTATTTTAACGTTTTTCATTGATTCTTAAATTATTATTGGTTACTTTTGGACCACCGTGTATATTTTTTAAACATACTCCAACCGATACGAGAAGCATTGGTAATGCAGATATGGGTCCTAATTAAACTGAAAAAAAAATAAATTATACCCATTAATAAAGTTATTTTCTTTAAAAGTCCTGTATTAAACAAAATAAAATCGTTTTTTAGTCAAAACTTGACAATTTTTTAAATTTAAAGTGATGTTATACTATCCAATTTTTTAGATTTTAATAAAATTTACAAAATTAATAGCTTCATCTATATACTTTATTGTGTTAAAATTTCAACGCAATAAAATAAAAATTGGCAAAATGGCACTTAAAGCGTTTTAAAATTCATATTTACGTCAATTTTGCTCCTGACGCTTGTACGATTTCTTAAAATAAAATATGTAGGCAACAGTAATTAATAAATTTTTGATTACGCAATATTTCTTAAAAAATACGTTAAAGTAAACTGATAAAAATAATGGTAAATTTAATAATTATTTACTATTAAAAAGTACAGTAAAATTACCATTTTTAGTTTAGAGATTGACAATTATTATACTAAATCAGGATATTTACATAATTCTTAGTATTTTATTGTAAATGGGATGCACAACGTTGAACGTATGAAGAATAATACGAAAATAGGGATTAAATGCAAATTTATGTCGCGTGATCGCCGCGTGGCAACAAAACAGGTGGATAGCGCTGTTCTTATTGGACAATTCGTACGCGTTGGCTTGGTGAAAACCGGCAACATTGCGGGCTAAACAAGAACCGTCTGCTTGGTTTTTACATACACAAGGGATGAATAACGTACTATATATATCTTATGGGCTTTACAACGTACCATAAATAAAGATATCATTAAATTAACTTATATATTTACCCCTCTTGGTATTTCCTAAATTAAATTATGTTAAAAAACACTTAGCAAAGATATATACTCGTCTAACCACGTTAGAAATGGTGGGTGGCAGAGCGCCCCAATAGTATCTCGGGCTA